ATATTTGTAAGTTAGTTACTTATATACAAATAGTTACTACTAACTGCAACTTGCTATGAGTAATAACTAATATAGATTATAAGGCGATCGAGGTGATTAAAAAGTTCAAGTCATCACTCATCAATCTAAAATCAAGTTTAATAGCCATGATAATAAATACTTGCGTCAAATAAATTTTCATTTTTAACGAGAATAGCCAATTATAATATATTATTATAAAATATAGATATTTAGATGTTCTATGTGCATGCGATATATGGTAATTCATTAAATATAAAATATTTTCATAATCCACTTAGACAAAATATTAAAAATATTAAAAGTCTTTTAACTAATAATTTACCTTGGAATTACTATACTGGTCAAGCGAGACTAAACGATTTGGCAATCCGTATACACCGGGATATTAATATTGATCCAGTGATGGTACCTAATGGATGAAATGGCGAAAACTTCAAAACGAAGACTCAATAGATATTAGTCTTTAAGTTGTTTTTTCTTTTTTTTTTTTATAACATGACATTAATTTTTTTCTTATGACTTATAATAATTCGATATTGAAAAATGTAATCGAATAAAAATGTCCAAAAATTTTATAAAACATTATATTTATTAATATTAGATATTTTTTTTTTGTATATATATAAACAATTTTATTGATTTTATTAAAATGACGTGAATATATACTATGATTGTCAGTGAATTTGATATCGGCGAACCACCCACCAAATCACCCAACCAAAAAAAAATATCATATTTTTGACGTAGGTATAGCCTGAATGCTTCCCAGTTCATTTAAATTACCCAGGGTGCACCATGAGGGGTTATTATTATTTATCTTATTATTTTGGTTTATACCTACTCAATTTTACACGTTTTAAGATATGGTAGGTATGTGTAATAATATTTATACGATATATCTATACATTAATATATTTTTTTAACATAGATATGTTTTTGGATTGGATACAACTTCTTTTTTCCTAACTGATTTTTTAAATCGATTTTGCGTAACGCTATTCGTTTATAGCCATAGAAACGTGAGAAAATAAAAAATAATTTAAAGAATAATAATTATACAGGTTTTGAATTTTTTATATTATTTTAAAAATCAATCTATAATTCTGAATTCATTAAATTCCTTAAAAAATGTAGCTTATAGTTTATTTTTCACTGCACTATAAACATAGAAAAAATACCCAAAAACATGTATACAATTTCTCAATTGCCCATGCGGAGGAAAAATATCTTGTAACATGCAAAATTGTTATTACCTTTATTTCAGCCTTACATTTTTAGAAAATGTGGAAAATCAAAAACACATATTGCAACAATACTTGTCTATTATGGTTTATGGCATTACTTCGCGCATCGGTTCACCACTCACACTTATTGACCTACACATGAATCTGTAGTCGGGTTCTGTTAATATGAAATGTGGTTTCTTCACCATTGCCACAGTCGTTGTTATAAAAATTAGGTATAGGT